GATTAATTCTTTTTTCAAATTCTAGAGAGAAGCCTCTCCAGCATGTGCTAGCCGCATATGCCACAACATAGTGGCGTCAGAAGATTTATCAATAAGTAGTTGTTTTTGCCACTGTACTACCCTGAAGATAGTAAAGGTTGTGATGGCGAACGTCATTCATAAAAGTCATTGACATATCCTCAAAACTCCTACCTCAATAAATATCTTGCAGCCCTTGGACTCTAAAGGCCCAACTGACAGTGAATTCTTCTTGATATCTGGAACATATTTAACATTAATTAGCTCCCTCACCGTACCATCATGCATCCTGATAAAAACATTCATTATACCAATAGTACGACATTTTAATCATTGTCAATAGTCACTACACCACTATTCAACTCCTTGTACTTACAGAACCACCCTCAATGGGGACAAATGTGATAGTTAGCACATGTGTCAAGAATCCAACATGAATCATCTCTACAAACTATGAGAAATTACAGATAATAACAGATTTGAATCCGATTCTTCACATCTTTCCATAATGACATTGGCTTTCGCCTCAGATGCAAGTTCATTTCTCTTCTCCTTCAACTTCACATTTTCTTTCTTCCAATATTAATATATAAAGAGAAAACACACTGATTTTTTTCAAGACTGCGCCCACGAGAATTACCCCGCTTTTGAGAAATGTCACTGCTGCCACCTTTCTTTGAAGTGTTTTTCTTTTCAGATCTATCATGTTGGAGTGTAAGTGTCTCAGCTGATTTCATCTTTACTGACTCTGTCCCTTCAGCGGAACTCATGATTCAACACTGCCGTAGTCACTTCTCCATAATTCAAGACCTCATTCTCATGAAACAGTGTCACAGTGAAGTTTTCATACTCATGAAGAAGTAACGAAGGATTTTATCGAGTTGTCACGGTTAGAAGGGTTCACGGTGACTATTATAGTCGTAGGTCGCCTTAGTAAGTATGCACATTTCATTCCCTTACAATATCCATACACTGTCATCTCAGTTGCGGCAGTGTTTATCAGGAAGGTTTGTTTACACGGATTGCTGAAATCGATTATATCGGATAGAGATAAGGTGTTCCACAATCATTTCTGGAAGGAGTCAAGGGACAGTCCTTAAGAGAAGCACCACATATCATCCCCTGAATAATGGGCAGACGAAGACGGTCAACATGAGTGTGAAGACATGCCTACATTGTTTTGTATCTGATACGTCGAAACTATGGACTAAGTGAATTGTGTCGAATATTGGTATAATATTTTGTACCACACCGCAACACAGACCACACCTTTCAAGATATTGTATGGGTGGGATCCACCTCACTTGATACAATATGAGCATAGCACCACACCAATATCCAATGTCGATTAGCACTTGAAGGAGAGTGACAGGATACTAACAAAGCTCAAGGGGAATCTACGAGTGCTCAACAAATCATGAAGAGGAAAGCGAATGAACACAAGATAAGTGCAATTTAAACTAGGGTACATGGTCTACTTGAAATTGAGGCCCAAGAGAAGAAGCGAGAAACTTTCACAGCTATACATTGTACCTTATGACGTGATGACTCGCATCGAAGCAGTGGCTTATCGTTTGAGGTTACCACCATCAACCGCACTACACCCTGTCTTCCATGTATCACAGCTGAGACGTGCGATTGGAGATCATGCACCCTCGTCTACACGACTGTCGACGCTAACGAAGTACTTGGAGGTGATTCTAAAGCCACTAGAGATCGAAGGAGTACGCCAATGAGTAGGGTTAAATTTCCTCAATGGTTTCAGGGAGGAGCTTCGTTGGCCTTGGTGTGCCAAAATCCAGCGGTTGCCTTTCCAGCTAGCTCTAACCGCAATTGCATCGCAAAGGTTCGAACAGAAGGGCAATAGTTTTGGGCGGAATCGAGAGGAGAGAGGAGGGAGGAGGGAGATCTTAAAAGGATTTTGACGGCTACAGAAGCGGGTTGCAGGGTTGAGTGAGGTACCTCTCCTCCATTGGCCTCAATTTACAGAGGGCAGAGTCAATCAATCTAGGAAGGTGCAGCGGGAAGAATAAAAGAAAATGTTTGTGTTTTGTGAAGTTGGTGAGGTAGCGAGCAAGCTAGGGAAGAAATCAACCACGTTAAGGAAAAGGTAAGAATTTTTTTTTATTATTATTCTTATAGTTTAGACAATGATAAATCCAATTCCAAACAAATATATATTTAACTATGTCCCCAAAATAACTATAGCTTCAACAAAATTCCACATCAACCATTCGTGCATGACAAAAAATTTAGACACAAATAGCACTATACTGAGCAGCACTTAAGAATATGTTGGTCTCTACACCCAAGCCAAAAAAGTTGAATAGCCTAAGCTCCATGCATTAGACACTGGTGAGTCTACCTACTCATACGAAGATAAAATAGCATGGATGGAACCACCAGCTAAGGCCCTATAGAAACTAAGCGATCTCAGCAAGCTAATGGCCAACAATACAAATATTGGGTAAAAAATAAATATTAGAGAAAAATTTTTGTCGTGCTCCATATAACCCAGAACTAAAAGTTTTCATTATAATGATATTTAAAAAAAACTTTAAGCGCATTACCAAGTCCTTTCCTTTATTTTTGATGGAACCTATAGAATATCATATTCCTAAACAAATAAGAAGTTATGGGTAATCCTTAATTGAGATTTCCACCCCACTAGCAAAAAGAAATAAACTATGAGGTTTGCATAAAAAAAGGCCTTAAAATCAAAATAAATAAATAAACAAATAAGAGAGAATTTTTTAACATGCCTTCAAACATTCTTACTTTCCTAGCCCACAAAATTTTCAAAAGAACACTTCATATTACCTTGCAAAAATTTAAGTCCTCTTACATAGTCTTCCTTCCAAGCAATAATTTGTTTAAGGAAAATCATTATTTTTAAAGTCATTAAGGGCCTGTTTGGAATAACTTTTTGTCTGTTTTATGTTTCAGACCGTCGCCACAGCTCCATTTGGTGAACTATTTTCTCGTTACTTCTTAGAAATTTATGTGACAGGAAGTTGTTTTTTTCAACCTAACTTACTAAAGTGTGGTGGCTGTAAAAAAGTTGATGTCTGATTTTTTTGAAAAAATATACATTTATAATTCTCAGATGAGTTTTCTATGAAGTCAGTTTGTCTACCACAACTTTACAACCACCTTATTAAAAAGTTAATGTCACCCTCAAATAGACCCTAAATCAAAAGAGCTTTTTTCTATAGAGGAACTATCAAGTTACCTAACAGCTCGCATATGTTGAATCAACAGTGTTCATCAAAAATTTAAGGGTTCTAGAGAAAAGTTATGCTTTTAAGCTCTTATCAATCTAACAACATTTTTGGAATGCACATTGTGCTTCATCTTGATAAAAATATGGAAGATTTACCTACATACCACTCAATTCTTATGTACTTAAATATCTAACAACTAAATTTCAATTTTTACATATATGCCACGTTATCTATGCATGGAAATGTATATTTCATTTTTAAAAAGTTAAAATGGTGGTATTTTTGTTTCTACAAACCTATTTTCTATAATGTGTTGTGAAAGAATTGAGTGATGTAAATGTAAAAAGTAAAGTTTAGGTGTTAGATATGTAAATACATAGGAATTAGGGAGTATGTATGTATATGCCCCTACAAATATCGAATTATTTATCCCTTAGGTTAAAGAAAAAAGATCACTATCATGAGGCCCTCTATAATCACCTTCATTGCTGCAGATTTCTTTTTTTTTAATGGTGAAATATATGTTTATGTAGAGAATTTGCAAGATTTGGATGTTTACTTCAAAACAAAAGTTTCATCATCATATTAGTCCTCGCTTCTATATGTACCAATAGAATAAAACTCCATTTATAGGTTTAGTTTTTACTGTAAATTTATATTTATTTTTATGGTGCAAGTCTTCATTTCATGGTGTAAATTTAAGATTTAATTTATGTTTATTCTTTATTTTTTTTTAATCCATTGATGTTGTTGAGGTTCTCAAGGAAAAGGATATATACATGGTTGAATTAAAAAAAAAAAAATTGCAAAAATTAGAGGAAACAACAATGAAAAAGAGTTACTTAAAAGTATGTTACTTTCATTTCTCTCAATTGAGTATTGATTTTTTGCCAACCGTTGGGTCGCATGAAACAGTACACTAGTACAAGTCAAAAGTTAACTTCAAAGAACAAGATGAGTCATTGATACAGTTGATTAAAAATAAGAAAGATTTACATATATACAACTAAGTTCTTATGTATTTACACATATAGCACCTAAACTTCAATTTTTACATATATACCACCTTACAAGTGCATGAGAAGGAGTATTTCATTTTTTTATAAGTTAAAATAATACTATTTTGGATGTGATGTAAAAGATTTGGGTGGTATAAATGTAAAAAAGTGAAGTTTAGGTGTTAGATATGAAAAAGTAAAAAAGTGAAGTTTAGGTGTTAGATATGTAAATAAATAGGAATCGGGTGGTATGTTGTAAAATAAATTATTTCCCATAACTTCAACTCTAATAATGTTTTCTAATTACAAATACATGCTTCTACAACTAATCACTTGTCAAATGCCTCAAACTATTTCAATTTTATTATCATCTAACTAAACTATTGATATTCAATTGACATGAACCATATTAATTTACATCAATTATTCCTAAAATACTTTCGGTTTGGTTTTATGTTGTCCCTCACAATACAGAGACATGTAATTGGTCCTTCAAGCAGCAAAACAAACATAACAATTGTAGTGATCTAAATACATAGATTTACACATCTAACACCCTAAACTTTAATTTTTACATGTATGAAATGGTTATTTCACTTTTTAAAAGTCAAAATAGTGATATTATTGATGTGATATGAACAATTTGGTAGGTATAAATGTAAAAGGTAAAGTATAGCTGTTAGATATGTAAAGACATAGGAATTGAGCGGTATTTATGTAAAAACCCTGGAATAAAATAACTAAAGTGATTTGGAGAAACCTGACGAAGAAATTGGGTTATACTGGTGATCACAGTCTTCTTGTTGAAGCAAAATCTGCCTTAGAGCGGCATTACCCCTATCAATCACTAACAAGGAGCAAGTTCTTGCAACATAAACAATGTCGAAATCGGCGGAAAACTTCGCATCCTCACTCGGCCCGTCTCTATATCCTGCAACATTCGATTTTCCTCCAGCAATTGTAGTCACTCCTGAAACAATAAAAAGATTCAGATCCACTGATAGAATATTTGAGAATATGAGATGATTAATAGTTCTTGTATTCTATAAATAGTCTCCATTGGAGACATCAATGGAATGAAAACGTGGCAAGTTCTTTCGATCTTGTGTTTCTTATTTCTTCTTCTTTCCCGATCTAATTTCTAGAGTTGTTGGTATCGTCAAATTATCGTTCACCATTCTTTACCAATGTTTCTCTTCTCTAGTACTCTACCACTCATCTTTGGGAGTTGTTGACATCCTCGAATTATCACTTATCAAGATCCAAGAAACAAGAACGGAACTTCAGTTCGAGTCTCAACTAGAGCACCAATTCATACCATCCTGTACTTGAATCTTGATAAACGATAATTCGAGGATGCCCGCAACTCCAAAGAATTGGGTGGGAGAGAAATAGAGAGGAAGAAAAACACAGATTGAGAAGAATAAACAACAATTCGAGGACGGAAGCAACTCCAAAAATTTTAGTGGGAGATCGAGAAAATGAAACACGATAAAGGGACAAACTTATATATTTTCTAGTGAATCAATGTCTCCAATAAGGATTATTTATAGAATACAAAATATTACTAATTCACTAACACTAATTTCTAACTAATTAACTGCATCTATTAACCTCAATACAAAGAATAATCATCTCATATTCTCAATATCTTATCACCATCAGAAATTAACTGCTCTAGAAACAACAAATTTGCTTTCATGGCCGAATTTCAAGCATCGTATTTCAGATTCAATCACCTGATTCCCCAATCTTTCTGATAGCAAGATTAGCAGTATCTGCAACATAAACATTGCCCTTCTCATCCATGGCGACACCCTTCGGATGAGTGAACCGAGCATCGCTAGGTTTTCCATCTACATGCCCTGAGTAACCCTGAAACGATCCAGCAACTAACCTCGCCCTGCTATCTGAAATCAACTCCAATCACATTTACAGTAATTACAATCCACGAGGCGTTGCATATAAAAAAAACCCTAAAACAAGAGATGGAAGCATACATTGCGACAACGGCGGAGTGATCTTAACTATGTTATTATTCTCAGAATCTACAGCAAAGAGCTCTCCCTCAGGAGAAACTCGTATTGTATAAGGAACGATCCCGAGCTTGTCTCCATCCACAAGAGTTTCCACAAAATAGCCATTCTCGAACTGAGGAGCAACTCCATCTGCAGAGAACAGAATCCTAAATAGAGTACCCTGAAACCTAACCAAAGTCCAAAGTCAAAAGAACAGATAGAATAGAACTAAACCTGTTCCCACCGACTTTGGTGAAGTCCTCGGCCATTTTAGAACAGGAGTGAAGTTCTTGAGATGCTTCATAATAGCTCCTGTAAAGAAAAAGTGGGTGAAAAGGGCATAGTGCAAAGGATCTACATAAAATTTACATAAGAGGTGAAATGCGCTGCACTTTTGTCACCTGTAGTAGAGGCTTCGACTGCGCAGTCGGGAAGAGAGGAGAAGAAGAGGATGAGGAAGAGAAGGCATCCTCTCATGGTTGCTTACTGTTGCGACTTCGGTTTCGACGGAGAAGAAGAAGGGGAAGGTTCAAGCTTGCCTTCTGCGATAGTATAGGGCTGAGAAGGGAGCGGACATGGAGACGTCTTCTTTTTGGGAAACCAGTACAGAAGAGAGTGGAGCTCTCAGTAATGGCCGTTTACTCACCGCGGTGAAAAGTAGCTTTTTTTGGGAGCGGGTGGGAGGAAAAAGAGAGGGAGAAAGGGAATCGAAATGTAAAGATAGAATTGCAAAAAAAAGGGGCATTTATATACATGCCACCAAATTCTTATGTATTTACATCAATTATCTAATAAACTCTACATTCATTGTCTGCTAAAGAAGAAACTGCTATTCAAAAAATTTTTATGACTATTATAATTTTTTTTACAAAAAAAAAAGATCTGATCCGCACCGCCACCCCAAACAACAAAATAAGAAACTGTTATTCAAAAAACTTCAATGACTATTACAATTTTTTTTTTTATAAAAAACAATCTAATCGTCGTACTAAGTGGAATAGCCAACAAATTTTCAGAGGAGCAAAAATTATTTTCTCGTAAATTTTCTCAATATTTTTCATCTTGTTTCAAACTAATATCGAGACTTTTAAGAAAATATTTGCTATATATATTATTAAATATAAATACATATTTAATGATGAAAAAATTTATAACTTGTAAAGTCTTGTCTCAACTATTAATTTTTATTTTCGTTTATAATCATAAGCTAGCTCTTGACCAAGCTAGTTAAAAATTTTATTAAACTTTAATATTAACTTAAATATAAATTAGTTATAATTAAAGATCTATTTTAAATAAAATATGATTAGCAAA